ATTCTATGATTCTATGATTCTATTCTATGATTCTATCAGGTGTTAAGTGCCTTTTGTAAATCAGGACCAATTTTTTAAGTCAGAAACTACATGCTTTCTCTATCTTTAGAAATTTCCATTTAATTCTGTGAGATTCTCTACCACTGCATGTATTTGTGGTAAATATCTTAGATATGGGGTTACATAATTCTATCAAACTTAACTGTTGTCTTGAATTAAATCCACTGAAGTATGTCGGCTGGTAGCATCAGATTTCTTGCCCTACTTTTTTCAATACGTACATTCCTCTTTAACACTTCTTTTAAAATCCTTGGATCAAGAACTAGGTTTAAAAAATGATTTTTTGTTCTAAAGCCACAGAAAATCAAAAGATTACATGTTAGTATGGGAAAGGGTCCAGGGCAGGGACAAATGTGAGTAGTTGTCAGTCAGTAGATGCCATTTTATACCACCTGGACCCCAAATTTTGCCATCAGTAAGACCTTTGCACTGCAGAGGAGAGAGCCAAAAGAGTTTTTTCAGCACTCCAGAAGAAAATGGCTGCAAAGATATTCTGTGTCAACAGAATGGGTATTCATCTTTCAATACTAGTTAAGTGTACAGATTGCCTACCTGGAGTGTAACCCCACGGTTCATAGTATGATGGAAATACACCAAGGTGGCAGCCTCTAACAAACTCCTCATAGTCCAAGGGCAGCAATGGGCTTGTCGAAGAAAGAAACTCTGGATGTAGGATCACCTGGATATACAAAACTTACATTAGAGGTTAAAGAAAACCATCATCAATACATTTTAATTATCAATAAGCTTAAGCAATTTCTTCACTCTGGTATCTGGACAACACCTCCTTTGCCCATCTGTTATCTAATTAACTTCCCACACTAAAATGTATCCTGCCTGTGTGCAGTCTTGTCCTGGAAACAATACTGATAATGAACCCTTTTTCTGGACAGGTCCTCAGCTTTATGCTTGTTGATCAAGGAAGACCAAGTGCATTGAGAATTATGCCTAAGTCTGTGGCATTTAGCAATACTAAATTGGTTCTCTTGGTCTGTTGTAGCAAGGTACAGAGTATTGAGATGTCTTGTTCCAGAGGAGGCCTCAGGAGGATACAGCACTTCTGAGCTTTACAGCATCCAGCTGAAATATAGGAATGCTTACGGTACTCAATGGAGCTCTCAAGAACTGAGAGAATTTTGAAACCAGACATATTGCAGCCCCACCATCACAATCCTGTGCCTAGGCTAACTTGCTGAAAGACAAAGCTTATTAACTTAGGGTAATGTCCTGCTTTCAGGACCCAAGCTAATTTATCTGTGTGACTCTGCAGGGCTGACTCTAGTCAGCTTTGGGAGGAAGAAGAGTGAGGGAAGGCTTTAACCTTCTCTGGGCTTTTTTCCCCCCACATAAACACACTGCAGACATTATTCTATGTCAAGGATATGCTTTTATCCTTTCTTAATAATATAGTCATGCTACTCAAGTAAATCAACACACGAATGTATTCAACCAGTAAATGGGCTGTAAACTCATTATGCAAGCTTATTTGCATATGACCCTGGTGAATCAAATAAGATTTACCATTGGCATTGCTGAGGCTACTTCTCACATCAACTGTGTCTGCATGGTTATGTCATACATCTCTCAAAATGACTTTGCATTTGAAGTTTACAGAATTTTCGTCCATGACATTCAGCACATTAAGTATTAAGCCTGTTCATGCAGCAGGTAATTTTCTCGTGGTAATGAAGTTTTGTACAGACTTGACATATACCTAGCCAATCAAGTCTGCTGAGAAGCAGGAAGAGGTGTCTGTGGTGTCACATGCTATCTGCTTTCTAATGACTTCAAGCAGTTAGTTCTGAGGAATTTTTTATTACATTTATATACAGTGCATCCTTTCACCCTATTTTTGTTAACTCAAGTATATTATTACCATAGTATGCTCTCAGACCTCGCTGGAGACACACACTTAGCAGAGAATATGTTAAGCCAGGAAGAAGCAACTAGGAAGTTGAGGAAAATGTTTACTCAGTTATCGTCACAGGTTTAAAAGCCAGAACACTGAGAACAAGTGATATGTCATTGTCAGAGATACACAGTATCTGACTTTAAAAAGAAGGTTTAGAAGAGGAAGAATTTGCAATTTTAGGTGCTACTTTGACTAGACAGATGATGAGATAGTCATAGTTAACAGAGAGAATGCCAGCGATTGCCAGACCAAAAAAAAACAGTTTGGCAGACTTGTGAAAGTGGGAGCTGATCATTTCTGTGGTCTGGCAAGACAGACATGGAAGTAAGGAAAGGATTTATTTACATACATTTAGCTTCAACCCTTGATGTAAACATGAGCACAGCATGAACAGGAAGTATTTCTGCTCAGGATCAAAGCCCTGGTTACCTTCTACAGCAAATGCTGAGTGTCAGGGTGTTGTTCTTAAGAGATGAACTCCAGAAATGTCTGTGCTCAAACTCTGGACCTCCAGTTTTAAGCAAATGAATCTATTACAGAGTTTTACATCTGGGTGCAAATGACCTGTGGCACTTTCTGGATTTCAGGAGTACTAGCTCCTCATTCAGTACAGGAGGCAGCAATGAAAACAATTTCCTAACATCAGATTTCTAACTTGAAATTAACTTGGTTAAACAGCAACTGAGGATATCTGTGAAGTGACTAGTTTTATTCCTGGAAAGAGAGGAAGAGGGAGGAAGCACTCTACTAGCATAATATTGCCTATCCAGAATTTGACTGCACTCCGCATGCTAATGATCCAGACTGAGACTGTTTAAAGAAATTCCATTTTATATCTAAAATGAAAATGACAGAGTGTACCTTTACTCTGTCTGTCCGGTTATTGAAAAGGCCAATGCGTCGGATGGTATTGAGGATTGGATCATTGCCGTCGTCAATCATGTTGTGAGTGGTCACTGGAGGCAGACAGTGTCGCTAAAGAGAAAAAAGGCGATCCAATAAGCCAGACAAAACTGTTGGCAAAGAGTCCTGTTACCATTTTCTAAGGTTAGTGGAAGACACTGGGAGATTTTGTCATTGCTGTGGATAGGTTTTTAACCTTTCGTTTTAAGGTAAGAAAGGAAAGTTATGATCATATAATGTTGTATTCTATATAACTAAGGCCACAAATGAGACCATAAAATCTGTCATAGGACTTCTTTCATTTACCTCAAAACAAATGTATTTCTACTAACTTTTAGAAAGGCCTACCATTTAATTTTAATGGTTTTTAGTCAATATGTTATGTCTCCTTAAGAGATTGACTTTACATATTCAATAAAAATGCAAGAATCCAGGCTTCAGGAACAATGCAAAGTTTGCACTTAATGCAGAGGAAAAGAATTAGGAATTTTGGTGTCCTGCAAGTGACTGGGGGAATATCCATGCATTCCCCAAAAGAATTAGTTTGGGTCATACTCTCATTAAAAACGATCACAGCTGATCTTTAAATATTACTGATGAGAAGCATATTTGCTGAAAACTTCTTTTTCAATGCATACATATCACTATATGTCATACACAATCCTTGTACATAGTTATGTTTATCATTTATACTGGATGTTCGTGTAAATAATATTTTCTGACCTGAGTTGAAAAGATGGCTCTTTTCATAATGGTTATATCATCTCGGTCAAGAATCTTGTTCAAGTCTGGAATTTCTCCTCTGCAGAGGCAACACAGAGCCTGTTTTACCAAATGACTTATTATCAGTTGTATAAAGAAAATGAAGCAATGGCAAGCAAGGTCTGATCTGAAATCTGCTGATGTCAACATGAATCTTTCCTTTGTTTTCATGGCCCTTCTATATTCCCTACATTTTGTTCTCCCACACACTTGGTGACCTTCCAATTAGCTTCCAAAGAAGCTAAAGAATTCTTTTTTTCTCTTTTTCAGACACACCTTGTTTTTGCTGAAGTTCCAGTCATCTCATCTGTGCTTTGGGTCATTCACTTCCAACTGTCTTTTGAAAGGATATGACTAAGCCACTAATACATATTACTTTGTCTCTGGCGTTTTTTTAAGCTGTAGTACCTCATTTTTGACAGTGAGTAAGCCTTTGTGTTACTTAGATATCCCCCATGTCTCTTAAGACTCTTTCCACAATGGGGTGCTAGTACCTTTAAATTTTTTCTCTGTGATTTGCTTATTGAACAAGCAACCTGTATATGGAACAGAGGGTCCCATATCCTTCTCCTATGCCCTTCCTATGGATGTCAAAATTTCTTACACAAAGAGTAGAAGCACTGAGACACCACAGGTAAGCCAGCTGAATATGTGGCTCTGCAAGGCAGAGCAAAGTAACCTACACACTCACTTTAGCAGGGCATTGTAGAGTTTCTTTCCAAACTTTTCTTTCACAGATTGTGCAGTGTCCCTAGGAAAATAAATAAATAGATGTATAAAAAAGGATAATCCAGGACAAAGACAGAATAAAAGAGATTCCTGCTATTGGAAATGAAATTGTGCTTTCATGTATACTGAGGCACTCAAGAATGCAGCTGCAGACAGAGGTCTGGTTCTCAAAGCTCTTTTATCCAACCAAGCAGCCATACTGACAGATTTCAACACAACTGGGGATTTGACCTGCATCCAAAGATGAATGCACTGTGAAAGCCAGAAGCAGACCTCACTAGTGATTTCTTCTAATATTTTGCTCTGATCAGCAGACCACACTTTCATCTCAGCTATGAAAAAGACAGCATATATATGATTCTACATAGATAAACATGATCATTAACATTGGACACTAATCAAGACTGAGAGGTCTCCAATTTAACTTGACCTAGTAGAAAGATGTAAGATAAAAGAGTTAAACAAATAGGGGTTTTAAAGCAAGTTTCTCCCTTCACTTTCTGCCCTATTTCCTAACTCAAAGACTTTTGAAAACAAGTGCTAGACTAAAAGGTAGTTTGCCATAAATTAGTTTGCAAACCAAAAAACTTCCTGGAAAGCTCAGACCATGTTTTAAGCTAATAATAAAGCCTGTGCCAGACAAATGTTATATTTTAGCTAAGAAAAAACTCCAGTGAACAACTCCTCTAAATGCAAAAAGCCATTGATACTATCCTGGCCCTAGCTGAAATAACTTCAAAGTACAGCTGGAAGTGCTGTTGTCAAAATAGCAAATGCACTCTCAATTTGAGTAGGACACCCACTTCATGGAACTTTTCTTGCCTTTCTGCTTTCTAAGAATTATACTTTTGGCTAAGACAAAACTTGTTAAGTGAAATCCTAAACTTTACAAAGCTGAGAATCCACATACCTGTTAGTTGTTCTCTCCCAACTCACACAGACACAGTAGTGGAATAGTTAATTTTGGATGAGTTGTAAAGCAGCTTAATGTCAAACCAAATTGATCCAAATCCCAGCAAGTTAGTCCCTTCATGGCTATATTTTCATAGACTCATGCCATGAACAATATCCAAAACTTAAACCCAGATAGCATAGACCACTTTTCCAGAAGCAGAGGAAACAAGGAATTTTAAATCCCAGATCAGCCATCGTCTACTCCTTTACAAGTGCTACCCTCTTCTTGTATTTAATTTCTGTGGCATCCTTAAAATCATCTAATACTATTATGTAATACTGGTATCAGATGGTTTTACCCAGGAGCTCCAGATTATGACCATGATAATGCTGCATATGATGATGCAGAGGGTCTTTTGCTTTTCACAGAGCACAGTGGGAAGAATAGCTGGAAACAGCATTTTTTGCATGATTGTACATCTTTAGGTTTACCTTTACTGTTACTATTGTGCCTGCATTACTGAGTACCAGAGAAATAACCATGTAGCAGAGATACAACAGGGAAAAACCTTTGCATATTTAATTTAATTTAAACTTTCCAGATATCCACATACTATTTATTTAATATGTACCTGTTGTATTATATTCAAACACTGCACACTTTATATCAAAGTGCTTGTTGCAAGCATGGCTGTTTCTCACTGCACTCGCATTATTTTCCTACAGTTCTTGCGTACAGAGTTCTGACTAAAAACTCTGCCTATGTTACCCTGCTTTGCCATCTGCAGTTTAAGCTAGCAGCGCAGATCCTCCACACATCCGCAGAGGGTGTCGGTCCATTTCAGAGGATGATCCCCTTCACTCATCTTAGACACTTCCTGAAGTGGTACAGAATGAAACATCATTTGGAGTGAACCATCACTCTTCACTGGCAGGGAAGGCAGCTCAGATGCATTACTTTCAGGAAGCCAGAGCTGGCCAATTAATTCCAGATTCTGCAGTTGTGGTACCTGTTTCCAGAGTGGTTACCAGTTAGAATGTTTCCTGTAAGTCCCAAGAAGTTGCTGTGTGATGACTCTGGAGATAATCTAGAGAGTAGATAGATTTCTCATATCTGTCTTCTTTTCCAGATATGGCAAAAACTAAATGATTTCAATGATCCTTGTTAAATTATTTCTGTCACTGGTTTTGTGCAGGTTTAGTATCCATTAATCAAACACTTCAACTTAATTACTGATATCCAGGAACTGAGCCAGAGATCATCTGCTGGAGGCAGTTAATGAGATAACAAGAAAAATAGTATCCTTCTCTTACACAGTGCCTTTCATCTACAGATCTCTAAGTCGTTTAGATTTCTATCATTTTATAAATATAGAACTGGCATCAGAAAGAGGTTAAACACAGTAAGACACAGGCATAAAAGGAGAAGCTAGGTCTTGTGGGTTTTAGTCCCTTAGCTTTAAGACCAGCTTCCTTATTTCTGCAGCAGAGTTTAAGCGCTCTAGCCACCTGATAAGGTGCACATTTCCATTTCCCTGCTTAGACAATTAATCTATAAATATGCTGAGTGAAATGGCTTTTTTCACCTTTTTAAACAAAATTCATCCTTGATAACCCACCACTGATTTTCTTTATGAATTTGAACCTTCAGTTTTGCCATGTCTCTCAGTTTAGAAGTACCTCACAGCATGTGTCTTTTCCTATGTAGAATCACACAGCAGTTAAAGTGAGGTGAAGGTTAAGTCTGCACCTGCTTTGCTTTTTTGTTTGGGAAGTTGTAAAATGAAAACTGTTAAACTGAGAAGGGCTGTGACAGTTTTCCCTTTATAACTGTAAATTTCACTGCTTGGGTATGGCCATTGCTTATTGTAGGCTATATAGAAAATTACACACAATTGTTATCAACTGCTATTCTGCTGGATTAAGACAGCACAATTTACATATTTCTAAATAAAAGAGGATGTGTAATTAATTTCTTTTTCCCATTGGTGGCAGAGAAGCTCACTCTGACAAATTAGCAGGTAGTCCTTATTTTATGGAAGCTCAATGGCATGTCCAAAGGGGGTACTAGAAACAGTCAGAAGACATCCAGAACACTGGATTTTCTAGAACCTTTGACTTTGTCACTGCAAAACAAGTACTATTTGCTAACTTGTTACAAAGAATGGCAAGGCAAGTTTACTAAAAATAACCTAGGACAAAACAAAGAGGAATGTTTGCCCTTATTTATCATTCCCACCTCTTCCACCCCCACAAATACATTCTAGTTACCCACAATCCTCGATTTTGCAGAGCAAAAAGCAAGAGCATTATTCTTCATCAGAAACTTTTGCATGTCTCCTCAATTCACTGTACAAGGCCCTTAGTGAGAATGGCAATTACCAGAGCTGCTTCCGGACTGCTTGCCCTTTCAGGGTTTCTACATTGAAATTGTTTGTCTTTGCTGGCATGATGAAGAACACAACAACTGTAACATCAGTCTTATGAACCTACATGGACAGAAGATGGAGAGAAAGAAAAAATCTCACCACAAAGTATCACAGCCAACTTTAACAGTAATAATTAGTCACAGGAAAAGCCAACACACTTTGATTGGTCATCCAGGAAGGCTCTGATTTTATACCTCTCCCTTTAGCTATGAAGTTTTTGTCAAGTCAGAGAGATATATAAGGATAGATACAGGCAAACAGATGTCACCTGATTCCAATTTGGGCAATAGAGATCTTCCTGACTTCTCATGGTTCGGAGGCCATGGCTTAGGATGTGAACATAAACTGCAAAAAATAAAAATCCTACACACATTTTCTTACCTGACACAAACTCTGTTGGCTCAAAGGAGTGAGTAATTAGTTTGCTAGCTGGGGTATGCCCAGGCATGGGGTGAGGGATTCCCTACAGTATCAAGCAGAACTACCTTCTATAGCAATAGTGCCCCAGAGGTATAGGCAGAAAGAGGCACAATAGCAACCACTGTCTACCTGAACCCCTGGCAAAGAACCTGCTAGACACACAAAAAGCTGCAAGTAACTTCTTGCTCATCTCTCATATCCAGCTACTGCAAAGGCAAAAAGCATTTGCTGTAAAATCAGACAGTTTACTTATAGAAGGTTTCACTTGCTGGTTTCTTCTGTGTGCTAACAAGATTCAGAATACCAGGACCCTGAGGGATTCCTCACATGGAGCAGAATGAGGTTGTACTCTTGTCAGTAACTATTTAAAGAAAAGCTAAGGGTGAACTCTGTTCAGAGCTGTAAAAATTAAATTAGTTTGAAATGCCTCCATTCTAAACTTTAGACACACAAACATGCTATTAGCATGCCTTCTTTCAGACTGAGGTACAGTGAAATGTGTAGTATAAAATAACCTATGGGAGTCATCTACCATTTTAAGGTTCTTCCCTGTCTTCTAGGCACATTCAAAGTCCATCATGCTATGATCTCCGTGAGTATTAATGATCTGTCCCAACATTCATATTTTATTTCCAAAATGTTAGTAAGGTTTTCAAGTAGCAAAGGAAAATAACTTTATAAAATAAAATAATTCCATCCGATGCTATGTATTTTTTAGGTTCAGGCTCACCACTGGGACTTGTTTAAGAAGCACCATCATTCCCAGATTCACAAGTAGTACATGTATTCGGCTGTTCCCAGTGGAATTACCTCTTGAAATAATTACAGAGCAAGTGTTCTTTGAACAGCTAATCAAGTGCTGGCACGCATGTTGGAACAGTAATGCAATAAAGCCAGCCTCAGCTTATAGGACAAGCAAGTCCCAGTACACTGTTCTAGAGAGCTTTGGAAAACTAGCCTCAGTTTCCTTTGACTTTCCACCAGCCTAGCTTGTCATTGATGTCATATAAATCATTACATACAATAAGAGATTGCTGCAATCATTGCTCAAGCATAAGACATTCTACATAATCAGCATTTATAGTTAATAGCTATGTAAATGCCATTAAAAGGTGGCTGATGTTGCACAGCATTACCAAACAACAGAAGTCAGTTGTTTGGCAAAGTTGTGGAAGACATTCTTCAGTTGTGGAAGACATTCTTCAGTTATGTGAGGTGACCTTTTGTGTGAGTGAATGGATTAAGTATTTCCAGAAAGTCCACAGGCTTTAATGGTGTATTAATAGAAGGTGGTGGTAGAACCTCTAAGTGTACTTAAGGGTTTGAACATTAATATTTTTTCAGCCCTGCTGACAATATAGTATCAAGATTTTTATCCAGATTTGCCATATAATTTAAGTGATAGAGTACAAAAGAGACTGTCTGGGACAACAGTCAATTGATCCTTGCTAGATGACTGAAAACTGATTAGCATTTTTTTTTTTTAAATGTATCAGTCTTTGGGACACATCTGGAGACATTTTCAATGACCTCATTTGTAGGTGGTAAGTGTTCTGCTCTTTGATCATGACAAGGTCCAGGTCTTATCTTCATTAAAGTACTCCATAAAGGCATTTAGAAACACTGCACTCATTTTTTGCCTGAGGAAACAGAAGCACAGAAGAGTGAGTGGCCACTGCCATACTGTGAATTTTAATGCAAGATTCCCATCCAGTGTGATAATACTACTCAAATATTTAAAAGGTCATGGTCAGGTCCTAATGAATTAATCAATTTACTAAAAAAGTATTTTTAAATTGCATCATTAAAGGATTATTTTTATTTGCCTTCTAATATGTAAACCTTCAGGGTAAATTCTTGAATCATATTTTCAGTATTTTTCTCTAAAAACAAGGGAGGTAACCATGGATTAACTTCTTGAACTATGTAATCAATTATTTTCAAGCACCATGAGATTCTTATATTCTCTGATGATACAGGGAGAGCACTTCATGAAAACTCTGAATATCCCATACTTATTTTCCTATAAACCAGAGTATGGCATGGAAATTCTTGCAGGTGACTTCCATAGTATGGTAAGTTTGAGCATAAGCTCTACGTTATCTACATTTGCAGAAGCTTTCTTACCCTTAGCAAAAAGTTTAATCTTGATAAGGCTTCTAGAAACATATCAGCTCCTTTGTTGGAAAACTCATATCTCCCAGCAATGAAGAAAAATAAGGTCTTCTCAAGACTGAAGTCAAGGTGGCTAAAACCAAGCAGACAGACAAGCACAAAGTATTTCTCAACATATAATCAAACAAAACACACAACAGCTTTCTATTCTGGAGGAATTTATTATGCCAAGAAAATAATGACAGTGAGGCTTTTCTGCTGTTTTTTAAATTAAGACGACTATCTTAATCCGATACACTGCATCTTCGGTAAATAATGAAAAAATCAAGACCTTCTGCCTGATCCCACAATCTGCTAAGCAGATCTGGAACTGGTGTCTAAAATTCCTTTAGCTTCTGTCTGAGAAATCCCAGATACTTGAATAAGTTGGTAACATTTCACTTCCTCAATGAAGTATTTGTTAGTCTTCCTGGTTCGGTTCTTGCTTTAAATAGTGTTGGACAACTGTTGCTAATTTTTGAAAAGTAAAAGCATACCCATAGAAATGACCTCGAATGAACTCTTGGATCCTAGCCTTGTACATGGAATGCAAATTCTGAAACTCATGCATTGCTGAAAATTTCTTAATGTTCAAGCCATTTGGGGTGACAACATCTGGAAAAGCAGAGAAAATGCAGAGGTAGACATCTTCAGAGAGAAATCTTTAACGAAAGAACCAATGCGTCTTTCAGTTGTCAGTATGTGAACAGGTTATGTACTCTTATTACTCATGGATAAGGAACAGCACTAACACAATGGTCTCTACCAGCTTACCCCACAAAGCTATTGCATGCGGCACTCCACTGTCTATAGCATTGAAGTGGTTTTGTACCATTTTGACCTGTACTCAACATTAGCATAGACCCTGCTGAACAGTAAGGTCTCCCCATGCCCTTTTGTCTTGTCAAGGCTTAAGTAATGTCTCCATTTAGCCATACATTTTTTCTGCAATATGCCCTTTACCTCTTTATTCTTGATATCACTGTTGCCTGCTTTATCACCATAGATTGAAAGCTCTTGAAAGCAGAAACTGTGCTGTACTATGCACTTACTTACTGCATGGCACAAGAAAGGTCTGTTCTGTCAAGACTTCTGAGGATTTACCAGAAAAGGGAGAATATTAAGAAACATTTTTCAAAAGACCACCTTTCAGTAATCTGTTGGATCTCTCCTAAAAATAGCCACAGAATAGCATACTTTACACTTTTATGGCTGCTCCACTTAAAGATTCCAAAGCATCTTACAATTAAAATTTGTTCTTTTCCAGTATCTTCTAAGATAGTTATAGGATATACATAGAGTTATAAGGATAGACATAGCTTGTTCCAGCCAACACAGAAATTCAGTCACTCTTCACCTTTCTGGTAGAGCACAGCAGCTATCTAAAGGCTTGCCCTAGATCTAGTTGAGGAAAACTGAAAGAATGCCATTTTCTTTTCTTTGAGTTGGCTTATGAAAGCCATATATGGAAATGAAAGGGGAGGCCAGTTCCTCAGTAGATGCGTTTCATAGTAACACAACTGACTTCAGTAGACCTATACTAACCTATGATACCAGAGATTCTTCAAATACAAAGAATCTTCACAGAAACAAGGAGTGCTAATTATTAGAGGATGCCCTGGTGTCAATTTCATACTTGTTCTCCTGGCAAGTGTCATCAGGTGTCTAGTAACCACAACCATTAACTGTAGTAATTTTAAAAGTTCTATGCATCATCCAAAAGACCTTCAGTAAGATATCATTCCCTACCACACATGGTTCATGCAAACAAAACAGCACCTCCTTCCAGTGCACACCGTTAACTCCCACCCATACATCAGGGTTACTGATGGGAGTACAGTGTCTTGCTCATGACCGATACAGGACTTGCACATTACTTCTATTGTAGTCTTTGAGTCAACGATGCCTGACATTCAGGGTTTCCCATCCCTTCCCCTAACAGTAGAGGTTTGCATGTTTAGCATCAATCATCTGACCTAATAGAAAACCATCTCTTATTTCTGGAGAGATTTAAGGAGATGTCTTTAAAACATTTACAGCTCCTTTGGTTGATTACATATCAAGATGATCTTAAAATAAGTACAATCAGTTCTCCATATGCTGTCCAGAATACTTGCTTGACATTTTTCATGCAAATGCCATGGCCATTTTTAATGATTTCCTTGAAATTTACAGTCTGCTTTAGCAATATATGTATTTCCCTGCCAGGTAAGTGATCTCTGATTACTCTTTATCTTGTAAAGTGTTTTGAGATTCTTTAGGTTAAACAGCAGTAGTTGAAAATATAACCTTTATTAGTAACCACACAATACCAAAAATTTCAACAGATCTGTCTTGAAATACCGCATTTCAAACTGAAGACCAGCTTTTAACAGGAAATCTTTACTTGTTAGGTACTTGGGATTTGTTTCTCAGTGTCAAGAAAGGAGAGTCTTGGTTGGCCTTGTAAGAAAACTTGTGTTCTTGTCTTCCGCTGTCCAGCACTAGGAGCTGCTCTGAACAGAGACCTGTGTGGCCTCATATGAGTGGGGGTCAACAGAACAGAAACAACCTCCATTTCTCTTTGTCTTTACCAAGAACATACCCTTTAATTCCTCTGACCTGCTGCTTGTTCAGCATGGAAGAAGCAGGACATAGCTTTGAGACTGCAACCATTTTAAGCTCTTCCCAATAAAGTAAAAATCCTTGACTGGGTTTCTCTGGCCAGTTTCCATTCACTTGCTTGCATTTATTTATCAGGGAGTTTTGGACACTCTCACCCATTATCAGCAGCCTGTATATAACCTACTCCCGTGTTCTTTGATTCAACTGCAGCTTCATTTACACTTTCATCAGGATTGGGGCTCAATCCATCTCTTATTTAAGCCTTTGAGATACAGAACAGACGTGGTGTCCCAAAGCATCCAGTTCACTATTTCTGCTCAACATACCATAATATTTTGAATACGTGTGAGGCAATGTGTCCTTGCCCCAAGGAACAAGTGATGAAAGAGAGCTTTTTTCCTATTTTAAGTGGTTTGGGGGTTTTGTTGTTTAATGAATTAATGACATTTTTGTTTTAAAATTCTCCCAAGTAGGTCAAATCAGAATGATTTGACTTCTGCATTGATAGGAAAGAAACTGGCATTGATTTAAGTAATAATAGCACAGTATGATGTTTTCTGTTGATAACTCACTAAGATTCAAGGTTGGCTCATACTTTTCCAGAGTTTACTTCTACGATTTTGACCAAATATATACAGATATGAAGGCTAGATCTAGATCTTAACTGATACCTAAGTCTCTTGGAATTTTGATTCAAAGTCTTCTCTATTGCTAATGAGAAATATTTTTCCTATGTTTCATTCCTGAATCAAAATATTAGAAATCCCATAACAGTTTCCAAATCACAGGCATATAACTTGTGATCAAGCTGGAGAGGTGGGCCTGTGTGAACCTCATGAGGTTCAACAAGGCCAAGTACAAGGTCCTGCACCTGGGATGGGGCAACCCCCAGTATCAGTACAGGTTGGGGGATGAAGAGATTGAGAGCAGCCCTGCGGAGAAGGACTTGGGGGTACTGGTGGATGAAAAGCTGGACATGAGCCGGCAATGTGCGCTTGCAGCCCAGAAAGCCAACCGTATCCTGGGCTGCATCAAAAGAAGCGTGGCCAGCAGGTCGAGGGAGGGGATTCTGCCACTGCTCTGGTGAGACCTCATCTGGAGCCACTGCGTCCAGCTCTGGGGCCCTCAGCACAAGAAGGACATGGACCTGCTGGAGCAGGTCCAGAAGAGGGCCACCAAAATGATCCGAGGGCTGGAACACCTCTCCTATGAGGCCAGGCTGAGAGAGTTCGGGTTGTTCAGCCTAGAGAAGAGAAGGCTGCGAGGAGACCTTATTGCAACCTTCCAGTACTTAAAGGGGGCCTACAGGAAAGATGGGGAGAATCTTTTTAGCAAGGCCTGTTGTGACAGGCCAAGGAATAACGGATTTAAACTAAAGAAGAATAGATTTAGACTAGACACTAGAAAGAAATTTTTTACAATGAGGGTGGTCAAGCCCTGGAACAGGTTGCCCAGAGGGGTATTGGAGGCCCCATCCCTGGCAACATTGAAGGTCAGGTTGGACGGGGCTCTGAGCAACCTGATCTGATTAAAGCTGTCCCTGCTCACTGCAGGGGGGTTGGGCTAGATGACCTCTAAAGGTCCCTTCCAACCCAAAGCATTCTATGATTCTATGATCATTGACAGAATCTTACATGATATGTCAAAGAGGGTAAGTTCAATATTAGATACTCAAGCTTTTGACAAAAATAGTTTGATAAATTATTGATCAAATGACAACAGCAGCAAGTGAAATCAGCGTAATGCAAGCAGTCATTCTGCCAGGTTTAGACTGGCAAATTGGCCTTTGTCCTGGTGCAAAAGGTCTCTATGCACTCATGTCTACTGAATTTTACAAGGGCTTTTCCAAGTGGTAAGATTTATAATTTAAATTATAATCCAAGTGTAACATTAATGAGAAGTAGCAGAAACTGCTCTACTTACCACATTTCCTCAATTATTTTCAGTTAACAACTTTGTTACGAAGTTTACCTCTCAAGAAATTAAAATGCAAATAAAAGTTAATTATGTGAATTCTACATCCCCCCTTTAAAAGTTTATTTTTAAAGTGCATCAAAAAGTGTACAAATTCTTGCAGTATTCATGTTCCTTTGCAGAATTTAAGCTTAATGATCTACTGAAGGATTGTTGACCTTTCTGAACAGCCAATGTCTATGCTGATTTCACAACTTCAGAGAGAATAAACAGTATGAGAATAGACTCCTACACAGTTTATTTGTGGTCTAAGATTCAAAGAAACTATTGAAGTACTTATTCCCATCAGAATATATTTTCCACTTATAATTGTCTCCTGGGATTTGGGGTACCAATTCCTATTGAATTTCTTTCTAACTCTGTCAACATGAAGCATGATATGTGTCAACAATTTTTTAACCCAAACATTAAATATATTTACTTGCTTTCTTCAAAGTTGCAAGAATAATCAAAAAAAGCTCAGGCCTGTGAATCTCTCTGCATGGAATTCTCTTCAGCTTCAACTGATGTTCTATCTGTGAGCAGTCTGCAGATTTTCTCTCCCAAATTAAACTGGATTCAGACTCATTTCAGCCTCCTAAAACCCCAAAACATAAACTATGATTTTCAAGAGTAGCTGTTGTGGGGAGAAGCCTCATGCCAATATAAACCAGCTTCAAAAGTCTCTACTATTTTCATTCAGTCTGAGGAAATGTAGGTACTCAGAGGAAATATAATAAGAACACAATTCAGGTCTTACCAGGATTTCTTTTAAGCATATGTTCTGCTTCTATAGCTGTTATCTGTGAGACTGTGGTGAACACATGGGCACAATGTACAGATGCCCGTTCCATACAGTACCGATGGTAAATCTGTCTCTCTCCTGCTTCCTTATCAATGTCAAACTGTTAAATAATAAAACAAACAAAAAAGACACCTGTGTGACATGCTCATCAGACATTACCACAAAGAAGGTCCTCATTTGTTAAGCTTGATTTCCCCAGGGAATAAGAATCACGTGATTATGTTGTTGGTTTGTCTTTCTGTTTTTTGAATCATTTTATCAACTTCAAATTTGGAGTTTGAAGGAGCAAGAGAGGTCTCAGTTCCTCCATGTTTGTGAAAAAACGTCAGCTCTGCAATGGAGGGAGACCTAGATTAATGATCCCATGAAAGGTAAGGATCTGTGCTACTTGGCCTGCTAGCTGGCAATATGTCATGCTGCATCTTGCCTGGGATTGTTGGAAAACCTGGGAGAGCAGAGAAGTTGCTGGTAACTGAAGGTATAGGGGAAAGAAGAAAAAAGGAATGGGGATGAGGAGAGAACCTGGGGACTGGGTAGAATGGTGGGAATCATGGGTAGGTAAGAGAGAAATGGAGTTGTGGTGGAGAAGTAGGATGTAAGAACTCAGTCACAAATCCCGAGGGAACACAGAAAATAGAAAATGAGATATCAGAGATGTTCTTCCCCCAACTCCACCACTATTATTTGCTGCTCCTTTTACTTCAATTTGAACTGCATTAATTTCTAGAGGCAAATGTAAGTTAAACTGCTAGATAGACCATCCCAAATACCAAAGTATTTCTAAATCATCTTTAAATCTTGCAGCTACCTCTTTTTTTACTAAGCTTATGTTATCCTGATGAGAAGAAAGTGCACAATACCTATTGAGCCCATGCTTAAAAGTTAAAATGTTCACTAATGATACCCACTGCAAAATCACTACAATGTAGTCTAAAAAAGAATAATGCTAATGGGGTGTCAATGATTACGATTAAATTACAAGCCTCTTAGTCTTACATGATGTTTCACTTCTGGGAACAGAAGTGTTGACCTCCTAAGGTCAACAGCATGGGCACCGAATAGACTGTGTGAGTTACATGGAGAGTGACAATGATTCTCAATGAGCTCTATCATTATCACTGCCTAATGCTAGGTGCACAGTCTGATTTTGATTGCATTTGACTCTGTAACTTCACTGACCATAATAGATTTAACCATTATTATAGGCTGGACAGACAGCACTTTCTATAGTTAGGACTACCTGACCTTTGCCACAGCTAGTTGCTTTTAGTACTTCAGAACTTAGCCAGAAGTAAAGCTATTTAGACCATGATTTTTCATACTGAGTACATGCTTAAGGTTGGTATAGAACATATTTTAAGAAACTTCAGCAAATGTGAACCATTTCAGGGAACAAGATTTAAGCAAACATTTTTTATTTTTACTTAGATAGATATAGATGTAGATACAGGTATCTTACAAATGTTTTGCTAAGAAACTTAACTGCTTTTATCCACTGAACACACTAATTTTGCAGTGGTGCTACACTGCTGGTGGGAAAGTGGCTTCCACTATAAGGTGGCATTTTCAACTAATAATGTGACCAAAAAAGGAATCTTGAAAAATCTCAGCTGAAAAGTTCTAGAGAAACTAGATGCTTTCTTTTGGTATTGATGATCCTGTATATCAAGAGTTTCTAAAGCTTGCCAAAGAGATTTTTAGCAAAGCTAGGAAATATGCTTTACCACATAATATGCTATACATTACAATCCCATTTTTCAGTTGTATCATCTTATATCATATTTTCCCCATGAAAATTTTGGTGCATGAAATACAACCATGTCACAAAAGAAGATCTTTTCTCTAGAACATAGATCTCATTTGTCACAGAAGTTGAATAGTAGAAAAAGCACAAGGCAGGAGTGTAGAGGAAGAGAAAAATGAAGATGAATTAATTTGACTCCTGAGAGTGCCACAGATCTCTAGCATGATGCTTTGCTTACCCTAAACCAAATCTTTCACATACAGTTCTTAACTGTGTGTTTCTCCTTTTCTGGGAGACTACCTTGGTATCTTTGAGTCTGATCTGTTGAAGTGTTGAGTATTCACATCTACATCTGAAATCCACTGGACCTATGCTCTGAGGTTATAAAGTACCTGGTACTGTTAATTCCAATAAAAGCTTCCCTAAAAAACCGTGGATGATGAGCTACCTCCCTTCATATGGGTGTGGTAAACTAATTAATGTTTCTGGAGCATTTAGATACCACTGATGAATGCTGCAAAACAGCTCTAAGCAAATCACAGAAACATTCTTCAGAGCAGAAATCTTAATAACACATCATAAATAAGGTAGGAAGCTGCATATTGAACAATAACAAAACCAAAAATCATTATAATTGTTCAACCATTCTATGTACCAAAGATGCAAAATGCGACAGCTCTTTAGCATGCTGGGCAAACACACAAATGGGATGGGGTACCACTGCACAGTCAAAACTATGCAAGTTTTTTTCAAATACGCTTGAATTCATATTAAAAATAATTTTAAAATTGCTTGCAAACAAATAGCTGGCCAAACTTTAAAAGGTTTTTGTTTTCTTTTCCTTTTCTCACCACGAATGGATTCTTTACAGAATGTAATTAAAAACTAAATTTGGGACATGTTTGCTAACTGTAGATAAACACTCCCTCCAGCACTACTGGGAGAAAGGTTCATAAAAGGATTCTTCAAAGCACTATAGCTTATTTTTTGCTAGCTTTTGTTTCTCTGATTGCATGAAAGCATTTAATACATACACATATTGATGTTTATTTCCTCATTGCTATTCATTTTTTCATCTTCTGGAAATTGGAAAGATTTTATTTTGCACATGCTTGCATGACTTTTGGCACGCTTTTCCAAAGGTACACAATTTCATGTCTATTAGCAAGTATAAACTGAGGTCACAGAGTTCTCACATTTCATTTGCTCTCACTCTCCAGCAGTTTCCTCCACCGATTGGGAAAGCAAGATCTTGACCTTTGAACTCACTTATAGTGTGGACTAAGAAACCTCATTGTGCACCTCTGAACAGGCTGGGCAAGTGACTTCCAAAAACACACCTTAGGCAAGTTGAAGGGCAGGTTAAGTGGAACTTAATTGATGAGACAGCATGGGAGACAAATTTAGTCCACAGTACTGTACAAAGACAGCTGAGCTTGCTGTGGCAGTATTATCTCCAGAATTAGAGGCAACATGGGGCATGGCACTGTATTGAGCCAATATGCCAAAATGAAGCAGAACACCAGGGCAGCCAGTTTGCTTTTCACCCCCAAACCAATGTTTCTGTTCAGTAATTGGCTCTGCTGTCTGAATGCTTGTCTGCTATAGCTCGGGCACCTGTGAACTATGTTCTATAGCATTCACATTCAGCAAGGGCAAAGCAAAATATCTGTGAAGTGTGTCATGCTTACTTTTGTTTGTTTGCTGTTATCAGCAAATGGGAACACTAGCAAAGCCACAAACGAAAGCTGCATCAAGAGAAAATCAGATCTAAGTCAGATTAACTGTTTATAGAATCATTTAGGTTGGAAAAGACCCTTAAGATAATTGAGTCCAACCATTTCTTCCCTCAGTGACTTTTAAAGACTCATGACTTCAATATCCACTTCCCTGTAAATATTCCACCGCTCCCAGTGAGGATCCCCTCCTACACTGACTGTTAGAAACGAAGCAGATTATTAGAATTTACATGATGACAAGGATTAGAGTGGAAAATGCCTCCCTAATTTCAAAGCAAAACAGGAAGACGTTCCACAGGCATAATGCTTTGGAGTAAAACTTGCATTTGCTGCAATGCAATTCTGAGGAAAAATTTCAGCTCATTTCTGTCCTTTCTATGGATCCATGTGATGAGCATAACATTTCCTTCATGTCTTAAAATTTAGCATGTTAGGGGGCACAGTAGGTAATCACTGAACCTCTCAGCATGACGTTCTGGTTAAGACAGTTAAGATGATCTTTGAATGCAAAAAGAAGAGAATATCAAGCAGTTATGGGATACTGGCGGTATGTTTCTCTTGGAAACAGTGAACAAGTCACTGAAACAACAAATCCAAATCAGACGCTCCTACTTCAAAAATGCAAAGGATTTACAAAAGCACAAGAAGAATGATTTGAGAGTGGAAAAGGAGGAAAGACTATACTAGCTATGTAAATACTTTTCTGAAAGACAGATAAATTATTTGTCACAAACTGCACATAATCTCTAGATACTGATACTAGACTATGCTTTCATAAAGAAAAAAAAAAAAGTATGATGAAAGCCAATGGAAGTTAGGCCAAGACAAATTCAAGCTGGAATTAAAATATGTAGTTTTGGTAATGAATAACTTTGTGACAACTATGCATAAATAATATAGATTCCCCTCACCACTTGAACCTTACCTCAAGAGTGGATAATGTTTTTGTAAGCATGTTTTGTCTCAAATGGAAGTCATAGGCTTGATGCATGAATTTTTAGCTGAGGATTTTAGGCAGAGAATGAAATGATCTCTTCTGGTCTTTAAATTTGGTGGCACACTCAAATTCACAAGTTGATTCTGCAGTGGAATCAGTAACAGTCAGAGATAGGCTTGAAGTTCAAATTCCTTATCTACCAAAAGGTAGAATGGAAAGATCTTCATTTCTAGCATAATCTCACTAGCTGCCATTGACTCAATTATGTAAGAATTACTCTTTTTAAAATCCAGCTTACATCAAATTTAACTCCCATTGATTGGTATCTTGTGCAAATAGAACTTTCATTCTGGTATAGCTCTGCCATGTGAAAAAAGAACAAAATTTACACTTCCTGGCTTAAGTCAGATTTCCATTAGCTGCTCTACTAACAAAGCGGATCAGCTTTGCATAACACTGAGCTCAGTGACAGCTGCGACAGTACTGTACTAAGTGGAATGAGAGCTTGTGCTCCTATATTGTCAGCATAAAAGCTCTTGACAATTCATTTTCATTGAGATTTTCAGTACTTTTCCTGTTAGACCTCTTGGGTTAGAATTCACCACCACTTTGCAAACTAGATTCAGCTACACTTGTATGAGCCGAATGTAAAATGTTGCTAGGTCTAAATAACAGTGTTA